GAACCGTACGAACTCGAGATATTCGAACGACAGAGGGTTCGAAGATTCAGACTCAATGTCAACAACTACCGCTTGCGATTTAATCGTGAGTGGTTAAATGTTCAGAGACCCGAGAATTTACCAGTCGTCTTGAGAAGGATGTTTGACCGTATACTGGAGGATCTACGTCATCAGGTAGATGGTCAAGATAATGACAGAGTAGGGTTAGCTATTCGTCATCCAGCTTTGGACGCTCCAATGAGGATAGGTTTCCGCCGCCATATAGAGCTAAGAGGAGAAGACATTATGAACCTGATTGAAAAGTTTCATCAAAGTAATGTCGATCTCGCGGTAGATGATACTATGACCATCGAATTTTTACACGTCGAGGATCCAAATCGTGTTGGCGAAGGAAGAGGTCATAGATCTAAGAAAGCTCCAATAAGTATAGAATGTTTTAAAGAAATGAAGAGGTCTATTTTAAAGATAAGGAACAATGATGATCTCTGTTTTGCTAGGGCCCTTGTGACAGCCATACACTACTGTTCAAAACCCGAACCGTTGGACAGAAAACATCCCGATTATGTCGCCTGGCGTAAAAAGCTCAGATCCCTGACAGAAATTCGTAAGAAAGGTGACAGGCAAAGAGATGAAGCGATAAACCTAATGCAGAATGCTGGGATTGTCGTGGGTCCGTGTCTAGGTCGGGAAACATGGGAAGCATTAGGCAGACACCTGGCTCCTACTTATCAGCTAAAGATATATTCAGCAGATATTTTCAACAAGCTGATGTACAAAACCCCCGTTGTAGATGCTGAAAACATCCTACATCTGTTTCATAATGACAATCATTATGACGTGATCACTACCATGACAGGATTCACTGGATATAATGGATACTGCGAAGTTTGCGATATTGGCTACAGTACAGTCAACAATCATAAATGTACCCGCGACTTCCACTGTTATCAGTGTAAACGGCCTGGTTTTTGCGGGGCTAAGATCGACATGGGTGTGAGCTGTTTGACCTGTAATCGATGGTTCGTCAATGTCCGATGCTATCAACGTCATTTGACACGAGCCATGGATGGAGCGTCTACCTGTGATGTGTTTCATCGCTGCAAGCAATGTCTGGAGGAATTTAAAACGTCGATTGATCACGTTTGTTCGGAAAACAGAGACTGTAAGATTTGCAAGCAGCCCTTGTCTCTGGACCATCGATGTTATATACAGCCAATACAGGATCAGGAAATGACGCAGCAGCTGCTCCAAGGGATGCCGGGAGCGTCTCGAGATTGTAGGAAACGCGATATACCCCAGGAAAGGGCCAAACGTCGATTCATATTTTACGATTTCGAGACCGCTCAAGACACCGGCAAACACGTACCCAATTTATGCGTGACACACTTAGGGTGTGGGGGATGTATTGGAAACAAGTCTGACAACTTGTGCGATACCTGTCCATGGCGAGCTGAAGGAGAGGGACCTAGCCGAGTCAAGGTATTTAAAGGTGCATCCTCGCTGAACGATATGGGCGACTGGTTGCTCAGGGTTGCCGACGGTGGAACGAAGAAAAAGGGAAAGAAAAGAAAGAGGCAGTCAGACGGTGACTCTGAGGATGGTACGGATGAAGGGGTCGATGATGATGAGGAAGAGGCCATTATAGCCATAGCCCACAATTATAGGGGATATGACGGACACCTTCTGCTACAGTATCTTCATAAGAAGATAGTGAAACCTCCTGAGATACTTATGCGTGGTCAGCAAATACTGCAAATGAAGGTTGGTCGAGTGACTTTTAAAGATTCACTAAATTTCCTCTCCATGCCTCTTAAAAACTTCCCGAAGACCTTTGGATTGTCGGAGCTGCAGAAGGGCTACTTTCCTCATTTCTTCAATACTGCTGCCAATGAAGATTACGTCGGACCCTATCCCCCAGTTGAGAGTTATGGCGCTGACAGCATGTCTATCACGGATAGAGAAGCTTTCATGAAATGGTACGATGGCAAGATAGCCCAAAATGCTGTATTTGACATGGGGGAAGAAATTTTGGCCTACTGTCTGAGTGATGTCGATATTTTGAGGAGAGGATGTGCTGCCTTCCGACAACTCTTTATCGATCAAAACCGGGTTGATCCCTTTAAAGATGCGATAACCCTCCCCATGGCCTGTATGCTGGTTTACAGACAGAATTATCTTCCTGAAAATACGATCGCCATTATCCCACCTCTGGGTTACAGACCTCATGTTCGCTATTCTATTCAGTCACTACAGTGGTTGGCGTGGTTAATGAATGTTGATGCAACTTTGGACATACAACATTCCCGAAATGGTGGTGAAATGAGATTTCACTGTTCCAATGGAAAAACCTACAGCGTAGATGGCTTCGACAAGAAGACAAAAACGGTGTACGAATACTTGGGATGTTTCTGGCACGGCTGTGCTAGATGTTATAAAACCAGTAGAAGTAAGCCTCATCCCACCCTGGGAATCTCTATGGCCGAGACTTTACATCAAACCCACTTCAGACTGGCTTTACTAAGAAACCATCCTGAGGTCAACGCTGTAGTGACTATATGGGAATGCGGTTTTCAAGGGCAGACAAAAGAGAACCCTGAATTAGGCAATTTTCTCAAGGGTTTTGAATATCTACCCATGCCTTTGAACCCCCGCGATGCTTTTTTTGGAGGGCGTACTAACGCTACCAAATTATTTCATGAGGCTGGGGAAGATGAAAAAATCATGTATGTGGATGTGTGTTCACTTTACCCATACATCAACAAATACGGTAGATACCCAGTGGGTCATCCAAAGATAGTAGATAAGCCGGACGTGTCGAGACTGTTTGATTTACATGGTCTAGTCATGTGTCGCATACTCCCACCAAAGCGGTTATACCATCCCCTGCTTCCCTACAGAACCTGTGGCAAACTTATGTTCCCCTTATGTAGGACATGTGCTGACTCTCAACAGCAGGAGACTTGTTCCCACACCGATGAGGAGAGAGCCTGGGTTGGGACTTACGCCACGGTAGAAGTTCAGGAAGCTGTGAGGGAATGCGACTATGAAGTTCTACACATATTCGAGGCTTGGCATTTTGAGGAATTTGCACAGTATGACAAGGACAGCAGGCAAGGGGGATTATTCACTGACTATGTCAACAATTTCTTCAAGTTGAAGCAAGAAGCCAGTGCACCTCCCGAACAGTGTGAAAACCTTCAAGAGTATGTCCAGACCATATTCGACAAAGAAGGCGTGAGACTTAACGAGGCAAACGTAGTGAAAAACCCTGGACTCAGAATGTTGGGCAAGGCTTGTCTCAATAATTTCTGGGGTAAACTAGCTCAACAGGAATCGGTTACTAAATCAGAATATTTGTCCGATCCAATGACGTTTTTTCATATGCTATTGGATGAAAGCTTACGGGTACAGAGCGTACTGGTGATCAATGATAACCTATTGTTCGTCTCTTATGAACCCGAGAACGATTATCTCACACCGCACTCGGCTTCCAATGTTGTCATCGCCGCCTGGGTGACTGCTCAAGCTAGACTAAAGCTTTACAGCTACATAAAACCATTGGACCGGCGCGTGCTCTATTTCGATACAGACAGCGTGATCTACATACACCGTGCAGAAGAATGGAATCCACCGCTGGGCGATTCTCTAGGAGAACTTACAGACGAATTGGATGGGAATTCCATTAAAACATTCGTATCGGCCGGTCCGAAGAATTATAGCTATTTGCTAGCCAAACCCAGGAAGGACGGTACACAAACTACCTGTAAAGTGAGAGGCTTCACTTTGAATTATCAAGCCAGTAAGAAATTAAACATGGAGACCATGAAAGAGTTGATTATTAACAATGGTGAAGATACAATAACCATTGATTATCCTTCTCAGATAATCCGGGGAGGCCTGCGAAAAAATAATGAAATCGTGTCTAAACACGTGTCGAAGAAATACAGACGTGTTTATACAAAACGTAGACTGCTTTCAAATACAGAGGGAATACAGGCAGAAACGCTACCTTATGGCTGGGTTGAATAGATTGTTTTTAGTTTTTAACTGTCATTTGATATGTGTATATATTATTATTATTACTATATTTCATGTGAAAAATATGTATCTGTAGTCATCAGCATGTTTGTACATTATACGTGTTGCACTTTGAATACACTGTATTATTTGAGGCTTGATTAATATTTGTATTACAGTTTTGACAACTACTGTACGTCATCGTTGTGTATACCATGTAACAATTGTGAAGTTTGTTTCATAACTATATGTGTATGTATGTATGTATGTATGTATGTATTTAATTCGATTATTGTTGCCTAATTGTTGTAAAGCATTTTATAATAAGAGTTTGAATTGTTTTATGGTATTGATTCTGTACATATTTTCATAAATAAATAATTATTGTTACCATATGAAAATAGCATATGTTTTTTTTATTTACTTGACACGACGAGTAGTGGGGGAAGTAATATCGTTATTACGGGTGCTACCAATGATTGGTAATGTCTGATTGGACTACGCTTACCGTCAGTCACGTGGTTGTCTGGAGTAGATTAGCGATTGGTTTAGACTAGTCACGTGATTTAGCGTGTGGTCAACACCCTTGGATATTAATATCTGATTGGTCCACGCTTACCGACAGTCACGTGGTTGTATTGAATACATTAGCGATTGGTTTAGACTAGTCACGTGATTTAGAGTGTTGTCAACACTGTGAGAAGACCATTGGACTCGAGAATGTTGGAGAGAGGAGACGTGTAAATGCTGAGCCCCACTTCAAACCACAGGGCAGAAAAATTAAACACAATTGTTTTATTTTAGTATGCACTAAGTCTAGAATAGCATTCACTAGGTTTAATTAATAATAAGATACATAACAGCGCTGAAATCATAATGGGATGGGACCCTGGGTGGAGGGTGGAGGGGTGGGACCCCTGGGTGGGGGAGGGGGCCCTGCGGGTAGAAATCAGCCAATGAGAGGACAGAAATATATGACGTCATTACTCTGAGTTGGGAGGTGGGGGAGGGGGACCCTGCGGGTAGAATCAGCCAATGGGAGGGCTGCAATATATGACGGGCAGAAATGAGCCAATGGGAGGGCTGCAATTAAAAAACGGGCATAAGTGCACTGTATACTACTCACGCCATCTTTACTGCGCAGAATGAGCGAACTCTCTGGCTGCGCCGGTCTCCCAGGGGTGATGCTAAGCCGGAAGTGACGTAATATCATAGCTATCACGAGCTTGACTTGCAGCATGGCGAAGGACTTCCCCACACATCGCCTGGAAAAATATTGTAAAAATATTAATAACAGTAATAAACTAACCTGGTATAAAAACACATCAGCCTGGGAGCTTATAAATTCATTATACCGCTACAAGTTTATGGTGCATGCGTGGCCCAGTCGTCTAAGGCGCCGCAATTCGCTGTGTGCAAAGTTACGTCCCTTGGGTACGCCAGAAACCTATGATCGTGGGTTCGAATCCCGGTTCGCCCCGATTATGTTTCTGCTCGTGGGCTTCACCAATGTGGTAAACTTCGGGTTTTCCTCCAAGATTAAGCTGACACGGCGTGACATTACTTGAATACTATTCAAGCTGTGTTAAACCCAGCTCACTCACACACCACTACTGTGTTTACATATGCTAGGACCCGTGAAACGGGTTAGAATTGGTCCCCAGCATTTTGACAAAGTCCCAAACTACCAAAAGGCACCAGTTCACCACTAGACGTATCAATGTGCCAAGTTTGGTTAAGATATCTCTCATGGTTTGTTAGTTCTGCTCCGGAAACGAAACGTGACGGACCCCATTCCTGTATCCCCTTCCACTTCGTGACTTAGGTAGATGTAAATACGAAATAACAAAACAACTGGAAAAGTACTAGTCTGAATTTGCTAGTTTGATCTCAGTGCTCAATACAAAATGTACTTTACAGGAGGTAATTCGTAGGCACTTTCAACATTCAAAAATAAAACTAAGTACAAATTGACATGCCAGAAACAGGTATAGGCATAATGCAAATTAGCCTGGAAAAAAAGTTATCAAAACAACAATAAAAATAACAGCTATGTTTATGTACATAATAATAATGATATGTAAGTTGTTGTTTGAGAAGGGAATATGTTACTTTTATGTGCTGATATTTTGACGATGATTCACTATCCCACAATGCCACTCACAAACCACTGACAAATCACATGCACGTGGGTTTCAAGCACCTGTTTTCACATGTCGTCAAGGTGTCATAGGTCATGGGCATTCACCTTGATCTACTAACACCTGGTTATGCTCAGATTCACAATAGTCTGTTTTGTTCTTATTTTTACACACTTTTACGTGTAAAAAGACATAAAAACCTTGGAAACGCTGTATTTGTGACATAGTTGTTTGAATATTTATATATTTTGTATATAAACTGCATTTATTTAAAATCTGAGATCGAAAAAACAGGGTTTTTTCATTTCCGTGAGTACTTTATTACCTGGGTCCCATCGAAAAGGTCAGGAAGAAGTCTGATGCCCCCATGTCCTCGTTTCAAACACCTGAAATAAGAATTTCACCTGCGGTTTAACAACTATCATCTGCGTACAGTGAAACCTCATTAATCCGGACGGTTCTGTTCTTAGTGAAATCGTCCGGATTAACATATGTTCGGATTAACGAAACACTGGTAATGACCTTGGAATATCTGCAGACGTTCCGAACGGTAACACTGTGGATAGCCGTGTATCCAGATTAACGAGGTTTCACTGATTAGATCAAAGTGTATAATGATACTGCCTATGGTTTTTTGACACTGTGAAAACATTATTGTCTGGAGAAGAAGCGTAAGCAATTCACATGAGGCATTAATAACTTATTAACATGATTGACGGGGGCACGGGTGTCCCAGTCGTCTGAAGCGCCGCGTTTCGCTGTGCAGAGTTGCGTCCCTTGGGCACCCAAGAAATCTATGATTGTGGGTTCGAATCCCGGTTCACCCCCGATTATGTTTCTAGGTTAGTCAGCACCATACCCGTGCTCGTGGGTTTCACCGAATTGGTAAGAGTGGTAGACCTGCATCACTTCGGGCTTTCCTCCCACATTAAGCTGACACGCCGCGATATAACTGGAATACTGTTAAAAGCCGCGTTAAACCCAACTCACACTCACACACCTATGAATATGAATGGAGACAGTAAAAGCAATAAAGAAAGACGAGGATTTCGATATAGGGTATACCTCGGGTTCCCGCCACACATCCGGGTTTCTATGAAGAGCAAACAGCGACACAGTAACCCTGATCCCTACAAGGACAAAAAATACATTCCATAAAGGTCAACAGGTCAAAGGTTGTCTATCAATGTTATATGGAATTATATTATCGCGGTAGTTAATTTATAATGGATCATAATGGCGCCTGCATTACTAACCTATTAAATATGGCATACGGAAAACGTTTCTTTTTCTTTGTTCAACTTTAATGACACATCAAATAGGATTGATCGGTGCAGATTTTCTTTACCGAGTTCGGTCAAAAAAACCCCTGTCCTTAGCGACTCAAGGGCGGACAACTCTATTATCGCGGTATCACTATTTTCTGGTGTGATACGTGTGAATTGTGTGGTTTACGTCACTTCCTGTTTTGGATTATGATGCATAATCAGTATTCATACGACCTAGGTTATGTCAAGGGACTTCGTTTAAACAAGCGGATTCTTTTTTAACCAATTTCGAATGTAGGTAAAATGTCATTCTTGAAGAAGAGAGGGCACGGGTGGCCCGGTCGTATAAGGCGCTAGGATTCGCTGTGCAGGGTTGCTTCCCTTGGACACGCCAGAAACCTATGATTGTGGGTTCGAATCCCGGTTCGCCCCGATTATGTTTCTAGGTTTGTCAGCACCGTACCCGTGCTCGTGGGTTTCACCGAAGTGGTAAACGTATGAGACCTGCATTACTTCGGGCTTTCCTCCCACATTAAGCTGACACGCCACGATATAACTGGAATACTGTTAAAAGCGGCGTTAAACCCAACTCACTCACTCAACGGTGAATTATACCCAATCATGTGTTTTTTATACATATAATTACGTTTGTCTCAGTTTTCGAGTGAAGTACGAGTTTGCCTGGAGAAAGACACATTACATTTCTGTGTCTTTCACCTTCCAATACATTTCCGGTTTCGCTATAAATCCTGCAAAGAACAGGCAGGTTCCTAGGCAGAGGGGCAGTCGGGTAGCTTAATGGTTAAAGCGTCCGCTCTTCGCGCCAAATACCCGGGTTCGATTCCCGACATGGGTACATTGTGTGAAGCCCTTTTTTGGTGTCCCCTGCCGTGATATTGCTGGAATATTGCTAAAAGCGGCGTAAAACCATACTCACTCACTCCTAGGCACTCCTATTTGAATTTAAAGTTTAGAAAAATAAAATCTCTAGATTTAGCCTCTAGGGTTCATTTTAAGTGCAGTTAAACATCAGACGTTCTTTAACAGGCTTCTTGTTGCGCATATAAACATAATCTCCTGTACACATTTTATCATTACATTAATAAAAATGTAAAATAAAACTTTTAATTATCAACATATTTTAAGTTAACTTTAGACTGTAGACCAGTTCTCTTGCTGTGCAGCGAGTGTCATGAAATAATCGCGTATTTATCTTAGATAAGTGCACTGTACGTTAGGCCCTTGCACAAATCAGTCCTTGTCACAACCCAACTATTCCCAAGCACTTGATTGGCTTATAATAAATTATGTACAGCCAGCCTTCTAGAAACTGTCAGCTCACGAAACTGCTCGAATGAGGTAGTCCCGGAGCTCTCTATACCCGGAGGCCGCGCTGATGTAGGGGCTGGCGGGAGCATGCCACTAAATGAAAACCTAGCTACATTCTAGCTATTTGGCGCCGCTGACAATCATCAGGAATAAATATATACTGCTAACATAACACAAACGGCTGCGTGAGTTGCAATTTAACATCGCATCGGCAACCAATTAGCGTAGTGGTAGTAGTAAAGATCCGGGATAGAATAGAAAAGTAGTAGTAGTAGTAGTAGTAGTAGTAGTAGTAGTAGTAGTAGTAGCAGTGGCAGTAATAATGATAAAATTAATTATACATTTATTTGTCTGATGATCCTCTTGTGAAGCAAATCAAGACTCATGATTAAAACAAGGCATTCCACAGTTTTCTAAAACGAGCCATGGATGTGGGACATAATCTCAATGTTGGTGTTGATTTTGTTGATGGTTCTGTATTGTTTGACGGTACAGAAATGAGTGTCAACCAAGCGAAGTGCCATATCTAATCGGGGTTCGATCACCGGCCGCGCCATACCAAAAGACGTTTAAAGATGGTACTTATTGTAACCTGTCTGGCGCTCGGTATAAATGGGCTAAAACAAGGACTCGTCTGCTCGGAGTCAGTATACTGTGTCTGAGTGGGGTATTCATGTTAAACTGCGGCATGGTGGGCATACACACACACACACACACACACACACACACACACACACACACACACACACACACACACACACACACACACACACACACACACACACAAACATACACACAGACACACACACACACAAACATACACACACACACACACACACCCACGCATGCATGCACGTCGCTATATAAGAGCAATAATCTTGGACGAGACGTTAAACCCCACTTCACCTCACCCATCTTGAGTGAGGTGTTCAAATGGAAAATCAAATACTAGAAGTATCACTTGGAGACCTATATTACTGCTTTTAGCTATTTTTTTGTTGGGTTCAATGTAAAATTCCCACTTCTGAATGTACACCTTGTTCGGTGGCACTGTACCACCACGACTTTGATCATTGCTCATGATACTGATAACTCGATTGTCTGGTCCAGACTCGATTGTCTTCATGCCGCTGTCGTATGGCAGGAGTATTGGTTGGTGAGGCGTCAAGTTGGTTTGGTTGGTTGGTTTGTTGTTTAACGCCACCCTCAGCAATATTCAAGCTGTGTGACGGCGGTCTGTAAATAATCGTGTCTGGACCCGACAATCCAGTGATTAATATCATGAGCATCGATCCACGCATTTGGGATCGATCACATGTATCAACCAAGTCAGCGAGCCTGACCACTCGATCCCGATAGTCGCCTCTTACGACAAACATAGTCGCCTTTTACGACAAGCATGGGTCGCTGAAGACCTATTCTACCCCGGATCTTCACGGGTAACAAACAGTTACTTTTTCATGAAGATTGTGTGAGTGGTGGTAGCCATCGGTAGAGCAGGACACGGTTACCCTTTTCGCAAACACCTGGTGCCATCAATGATTTTCACATTCGTGACCAACTCGTGTTGTTCCGGGACAAGCCGAATAGCGACTCGTGCCCATTTCATGGCCATTTTTGCGACCGGGTTCCGTCTCAGCGCAAACGGGCATACCTGAAACAATTGTCAACTCATTGCCTAATGGTTCACATATATATCCCCATATATTATATATATTTCAGATGCAAGTTAAAGTATATCTGGACATGCGGAATTATACAGTATGATTGAACACATTTAACTGTCTTGGGTATATGTTAGATGCAAGACATATGTAAAATCAAAAATTATTTCTGAGGGATTCTTTGACGAAGAACTTGAAATCATACGCGCATTCTGATTGGTTTGTCGTATTTTCGCACATAACATTTGGTTTGCGAGAGTACTATTCTATCTTGTCCAAACTGTCTTCAAAATCTTCAATCTTTTCTTGACAACTTCCGGAATCTGTGTAAGATGGCGCTCTGATGGGGATAATTTATCTTCCATAGTGTCAGTAAGAGTATTCATATCCATTCGTAGAATATGTTGCTGATTTTCCCTTCATTCCAGGGCCCACTTGCACAAAGCGATCTTAGCGTTATGGCTGTTTTAAGCTTATGTTAAAGTATGGTAGTGACGATCATCTAATTGCTAAGATCGCTTTGTGCAAGTGGGCCCTGATCCTTTTGAATCTCACTCATAGACAAACTCAACTTTCGTGTATCGGAATATATATCTCTAATTTCTCTCGACAAGTCAGTCTTCATTAAGTAAGAGGTGACTAACGGGATTGGGTGGTCAGGCTCGCTGACTTGATTGATGCATGTCTGGTTAAGGATTCCATTATTTACAGACCGCGGTCATATATTGCAGCAAACAAACTAATAACAAGTAACAATAGCGCGGCGTTAAACATAAAACAAAACAACAACAAACACTCTTCATTAAACGAAGAGCACGTATAATGTCATCTTCCCAAGGACCAGGGTTAGTTTCTCCGCCGCCAGATAGTAACAGACGCATGATAAACCACAGCATTCAAATTCTCAATAGTATACAGTAACATGAATGTAGCCATGAGCCAAAGAACATGTGTATGAGCTGCAACTGGCAACATGGCGGATCTATCGGGTGCAATGCGGGTTCACGTGAGAACGTCCCGATTCTCGACTTCCACAACTCCGTTGAAATACCCATTATTCCGCAAAGCACACAAAACAGCGCTAGGGCAAGCCTGGTAGTGTAAGCCGCTTCTGGTTATGTATCATTTAGATATTTCAGTTGATCGCTCTGCACACGACGACTGTCCATGCAGGCGAGCATACATTATTTTGTATGAAAAGAGGGGTAACTTCAACTTTAAATGGTCAAATGTCCCTTTATATCGAACACTATTCCAGCAGCTCCAGCCTTTGGCGTTTACATTTCACACATTTTAAGGTACAATCAAATATGCTCTTTCTATGTTTTAAAAGAAGTCATACGACTCTTGCTCAGAAGTTTTTTCAAGATTATTGCATTTAAGACCTCAGTTAAGCTTTCAAAACGTGTTATGGTAGACACGTGAAGGACAATTCCACATTTGACGTGAAACAAATGATGTCCGATGCAATTCCCTATTTTGACGTTACCATAGGTAGCCGGGTTTTCTCAGGTGAACAATTGCCTTGCCTTTACGTGTGTTTATGACTAGTTTTTGAAGTAATTTAATCAGATTCAGCTAAGCAGATATTCTGAATTCTACCATGACATAGAAGAATGCTTTATTCTGACTGGTTAAAAAGAGGTTTCCTTTTTTGCTACGGAAACCCCTTTTAAATACAATAAGCCTTTTCACACCAAAAACGTGCGCATGAATACATCGATAGCCTACATATCAATTCATAAAAAAACGGCTGCCAATTGATCACCACCAGGAATTGTAAAATGTATCGATATTTCCTCTATTACATGCTTGGTCTCTAATACAAGCCAGGTCTCTAATACATGCCAAGTCAATGGCTCTCGCGAAATAAATAGACGGCCAAACATCTAATAGAGGAAATACGGTAGTTTGATATCGGATGTTTTTAGCGACGCTATATTGTTCTAGGCCGTAATCCTGACTGCTTCGGTGATGAGATTACAAGACTCTACGAAGGCATATCTTTTGCATACAAATGACATGTTTATGAAACTGTCAGGGACATAATGGAAGCCAAAAGACTCGGAATAGGTAATTTCGATCGTCATTGAAACAACCGACAATGAAAATAAAATATAACATTATAAAAGTGTGTTGGAAGAATTTTCATTTATGACAACATGTTGTGTACAAACCTTTTTGTGTTTGATATCCATTGCCATTTGCGTCAACCACCACCGTAAGGATTTGGCAGGAGGGGATTTGAGAATCGTCCCCTCGAATGGCCACGAAAACAATATCCCGACATCACTGAAGTCACAGCTTGTCAAACTTGATGACATTCATTTCAGAACACACACAATTAAGAAAATCATACACAAACCACTATTCCCGGGCCACAACTGTCTCATTGCTTTTACAAGCATGCTTTGAATCCGTGAAATCTTGAAATTGACAGGTCAAATCATGCAGATACCTCGTGTCAATATAGCTGGCTCTTCTTCAGGCTACAAAGCGGCTGTTTAGTCATACTCAACGTTTATCTCCTAAATGTCATATGTTATTTGGTCACTATATAAAGGCTTAGTCTTGGAGATGGAAAGCTGCATCCGCGGATCGCACACTGAGTGAACAGTCAGTGGTAGAATTACCTACCCTTACACTAGTGACCTCCTTTTTGACAACGTTGAGACTCTATCATGGCCATATACGCATTCAATTATGTAGGAACAATATTTATTCTTCATCAATGAAATTACGAACATTGGAAACATCACATGGAAGGGTGTAAGCCAGATCGATGATGCACTATATAATATTATAATTTTTACTTATATTACCAACTTTATTGTGGAAGGCCTTTACCCAGTCAGACACCCATGATATACTCACTGGGAGGAGTTGTCCCCTTGGCAATCTCCAATGTCAGTCAGCTGATGCTGAAATATACAAACTCACGAACTCCAGTGCAGATATCACTCACTAGGGTAGTAGAGTGAGTGAATGAGTGGTTTTACATCGCTTTTGGCAATATTCCAGCAATATTACGGCGGGGGACACCAGAAATGCGCTTCGCACATTGTAGACATGTGGGGAATCGAACTCGGGCCTTGGGCGATCCGAGCGGTTTAACCACTAGGCTACCCGACCGCCCCAGTAGTTTCTTGGTTTGTTGTTTTTGTTTTTTATGTGTTTGATATTGACCACTGCCATCATATTATTTATTGCCATCGAATATTGTACTACCACTCTATTGTGTAGTACCGTTGTAATTGGTGTGCGGTAATTTGTATTGATGTGTGTGTATGTTTATTGTTTAACATCCTACTCAGCAATATTCCAGCTATATGACGTCGGTCTGAAAAATATTCCAGTCTGGACCAGACAATCCAGTGAGCAGCAATCCACGAAATTTGGTTACGATGACATGCATCAAACAAGTCAGCGAGTCTGACCACCCGATCCCGTTAGTCACCTCTTATGACAAGCATAGTCGCCTTTTACAGCAAGCATGGATCTTCAGTAGTAAAACGAATGAATTTCAAGGTGCTGTTGATGTTCATGATGTAAACTCTAAATTCTTATTGATATGGTTAAAACATGTAGTTACAAATATTGCTCAAAATGTTCATGATTTATTGCTACTGCTGCTAAGTTACCATTTGGTGTCATACAACAGCTTACCAACACGTGAACCATAGCAACAATGTAATATCAGCAGGGGATAGTATCAGCAGGCTAAAACTGTTTTCTATAGAAATAGAACTTAGGAAATATACAGCGATTACTTATTACAAGTGAATCTTACATAAGATGTTTTCTGAAACAAATATCATCCACGTAGATGGTCGGTCTGTAAATTATCGAGTCTGGGCAAGACAATCCAGTGATGGACATCATGAGCTTCGATCCGTGCAATTTGGATCGATGACATGCATCAACCGAGCCTGACCACCCTATCCCGTTAGTCACCTCTTACGACAGGCATAGTTGCCTTTTACGGCAAGCATGGGTTGCTGAAGACCTATTCTACCCCGGATCAGGGGCTGATCCTGATGTGTTTTATGTATTCTTAGGTACACTGTTATACGTGTACATGTATTTTAATACGAACGCCGCAGCATGAGCTTTCTAATGAAAAATGAAATATAAAAATAATACCTCTAATGATTTGAAAAAGAATTCTGTAGGTTTATCATCATATATCGTGACAGAACATACGCTTCACACTACACCCGGTCGGTTGCGCAAGACGTTTTTGTGAAATAGGTTACCAACCTTTTCCAACCTTTACAAAACACTGTTCACAAATATTGTGTCATGAACTGGTGGCTTGTTAGGATATAATGGAGGCTGAAGTGAAGTCAACGCCCGACAGTAATCAGCAGAGGAAAGTATCATTAGGCTAAAACTGTTTTCCATAGAAATGTGACGTGATGTTGTTTATTCCGTAATGAGGCCACCGGCCCATTATACAAGTATACACACACTCACAGATGCTAAGATGTTTGCCTTATGATGTACAATAGTGGACAGTAATACTACTTAGGATAATCAATGACAACGTTAAAATAACTATTGCGTTTCTTAAGTGCTGAGAAAATGTTCCCTAGACTGTTAAGTACAGGCGGATTCGAGCTTGAGAACAGCATCTTAAGTTTTTGATGGTTTTGATGGTCACAATAATACTTTGGTAAAATGCTGTCTCTTAAACCTGCATAGAATGGACATTGGAGGCAGAAATGGTATTCTGATTCTACTATTAAAACTATGCAAAATGGACAAAATCTTAAATTTCTGTTAATATTGTACTGTCGACCTATTTCTATCATTGAAGTATGACTAGAACATCTAAATTTAGCTAAAGCTTTAAGATAGGTCATATTGTGAATACAAAAAATATAATCTTCCTAACCATACTCTATTTTAACATGTCTGCAAAATTCTAACTTTGGAGAAGATGTAATATTGTCATTCCATATCTGAACATCAATATCACGACGGTAACACATAAATTACAACTGGTGCTTTTTAACTCGCTTTCCTTACAAAGTAGACACAATTTTTCGGATTAATTATGGACAATTTTACGGTATAAGGATAAAAATCAAGAAGTTGTTATCCATAAAAGTTTGTCTAATGCCTATCAAACAATTCGCTTTCCTCACACTAGTGAGTGACTGAGTTGGGTTTAACGCCGCTTTTAACACTATTCCAGTTATATCACGGCGTGTCAGCTTAATGTGGGAGGAAAGCCCGAAGTTATGCAGGTCTCAGACGTTCACCACTTCGGTGAAACCCACGAGCACGGGTATGGTGCTGACACACCTAGAAACATAATCGGGGCGAACCGGGATTCGAACCTACAATCATAGGTTTCTGGCGTGCCAAGCGAATCGCGGCGCCTTAGACGACTGGGCCACCCGTGCATCCCCCCCCCCCCCCCGCCCCCTTACGATAGTATATAAATCAGTACATAAAGGGGACTCGTTTATAAATCTATACGACCTATAAGCTGTAACCTAATTTTTGACCTTTAACACCATATGACATGACGCCCATTTGTGATTAGGTTCAATTTCCATTAAGTCCACGGGCGTGGGAGGCTGGTCCGATATAAATCAGAGCGGGTGAGAGTGGAATTGTGGAGTTGCCACGTCCAGCAAACATAATGACGTCGTGTGTCCTCGTGGTCGTCGCCGTCCTGGTGCTCGGAGGAGTGAAGGGTCAGGGGGAAGGTCTGTATCACAGCACACTATTGCATTTGGTTCTTTCTTTGAACCCGTATTTTAAACAGACACTCTGTAACAAGGAAACATTATTGAACATGGGTGTTATAGCATTACACCGTGATGATTTCTGATTGCATTTAGTTGAGTGTTGTTTTTGTACAATAATCATCAAAGTAAACTTTTCTTTCGATCATATCCTAATAATCTCCCATTATGTATTCTTAACAAACTGATAACAGCACATGTATGCATCCGTCTGAAACACATTTTTTAATGTATTTATTTATAACATTTTTATTGTTCTCAGAGTTGTAGAGTAAAACAGTATTCCGTCAAAAACATATTTCGGATTGCATAGAATGACACAATACACTTTTAAAAAAAATTAAAGGTTTGGAAACAAATATTTCAAACCTAAAAGGTTGCAACACACAATCAGACTCAAACACAGCATGTATCAAAAGAGAGCTAAGAATCAAATGCTGAGAATAAAAGTCATCATGTTTTTGTTAAAGTTATTTTCGTCATCCTTTTTTTTTTATAGCAATACATGTCTTGATTGAATCCTTTTTTTAAAGAAGTAGTTTTAAAAGTGTATCTATTTTCGGTTTGATTCCTTTAATTCCACATACATGAATATGCTTTTTTCCCAACAAAAATATATGATTGATTCAAGTATTGGAGTAGTCAGAACAAAAAGAAAAGACATTTTGTGAATGAATTTTATGTGAAAGATAATTATTAAGCCAAAGTTCGAGATCATTCCAAAATTGTTTAGTTTCATCACATTCCCAAATGATATGTCTGATGTCCTCATTGACAGCACTACAAAAGCTACGAGATTTCATTGTTAATATTGTTCCTTCATTGTGTAGAAATCTGTATTGAAAATCTGAAAGTTTTGCATCCTTCTATAAACGGTAAATATATTTTTCCAATTGTACTCAACTTGATTGGCATTTATCACAAATTATAGGATTATATTCATTTGATATCAAATTAATATAAAATATTCTAGCGCCTTTTACAGGATTCATCAAATCACTTGAGCAACTGTTTATATACAAATTCTGTGAAAATATCTTTCTAGTTTTCTTGATTCTTGTTTTACATGAGTCTGATATTTTGAACATTAAATATCTATGAGGAAGGGAAACATCTATAGACTAATACTGTACCTTTTCATTGCATATATCTTTAATTGAGTAAATTCCATTATTAGCCCCTTGCTTTATGTAGAATGTTGCTTGTTTAAAGTTGTGATCAAGCCTCAATGGTTGGGACAAAATTTCTTCTATATTATCAACATTAATGAAAATTGCTTTACAAAATTTGTTCCAAGCTTTCAATACATCTTTCCAGAAGGGGTTTTAACAAAAGATGGCTTGTCAACATTAGCACCCAAGGAGAGTAAATCTTTAATTGGGATACTACTAGGATTACCATATGGTTTTTTTTACAATACAGTCTGAGCGTAGATAGTTTTAGTGCGTCAATAAAGGCCCTTATGTTAATCATGTGTAATCCACCTTCCTCATATTTTCCAGTCAAAGTAGTCCCTTTGATTTTGTTTTTTTTCATTGCTCCAGATAAAAAAAAATATTTTGTCCAGTGATAAGACAAAGTCCCCAGGAGGGTTTGGTAGTGTCTAAAATATGTGAACTAGTTTTTACAATGCTAAAAACATTATGACAGTAATTGTTCGATCATTCTATTCTATATTCATATATTCATATATTCATATATTCATATGTTCTATTTCATCATTGCTACCCGTTTTTGAGCCAATTTATATTGCTTTTGTCTTGTCTACATTAATTTTTAAGCCAAACATTTTGTAGAATGTATGAAGTGTTTCTATAGCTGCATATACGCTTTCATCTTTACCATTTAAACAAAATTCAGTATCATCAGCATACTGCTCAAGTTATTAGTATTTGGCATTTACAATAATTCCTTCAATTACATTATTATTTCTAATCATACGTCCAAGGAAAATATATGGCGA